GGGTACCATGTTCCTGAGCAGAGTGCCCAGCAGACATAGGGTGCTGAAGGAGTCCCTTGCTGGGTACCATGTTCCTGAGCAGAGTGCCCAGCAGATGTAGGGCTGAAGGGCACATCCCATACACGTTGAATTTCTAACAGCTGGGGAAATAATACACCAAACGTAGCATCTCACCTTGAAACGAGAAGGAGGTGGAGACAGCTCAGATGGGCTGGGAAGGGAAGGGCAGTGCCGTAAGCCCGTCTCAGCGAAGGTGGAGGATCGCTGCCTCGTCTCAGGAGCGTGTGGCGTGAACACAGGGAGAGTACCTCACGGGCCAGCGGGACGTCTGATGTGTTAGCACTCTTCCCTGATCTTCCAGCTGTACGTGAGATGGCTTACTTTCCGGAAATAGGCTTACAGCAAAACCCTGTGTCCTTTTTTGTTTTAGTCCACGAGCATTTCTCTGGTTTTCTCCGTTAGATTGTAAGTGTGAGGAAATTGCCTCTGGTCAGTATCTGGTGCTGGACACACGGCTGTACATGCAGCAGCAAGAGCAGGGTCGGATTAACTGCTCAAACTGTGATGGAATGTTTCGAATTACACGTTTCAGTCTGTGACTGGGTACTCGAGGCAATAAGGTATTTTATGTTTATGAATTAAATGTGTGGCAGAAGGTGTTAGCTCGTGCCGTTAAGTAATCATGGCTGTGTTGTTTCTCCATTTCATGTTTTGAAGAAGAAAGAAGACTGGACATAGAGGAGAAGCCGCTAGTCGTGCAGTTGAACTGGAACAGAGACGACCGGGAGGGCAGATTTGTTCTCAAGAATGAAAACGATGCCATTCCTCCTAAGGTGGGTGGCCTCTGTCTTACGCGGGTGTGGGTGCCGGGGCCCAGGTCTGGTGGCCATGAGTGGATGGGGTTTGCGGTTAGGGGAGCTGATTTTCTCTTTTCTCTTTCAAAACTACTCTTTCACCCTCCTGCTAGAGAATAGTTTAAAAGTAGTCCAGCTCCTGCTTTTTTCCTCTGTTTTGTGGGATGGCCCCAGACACTGCTCACTTTTTCAAAGAGGAGTTACGTACCCTTTTGTTACTGAAAGATGTGATGTTCAGTGAATCAGTTCCAGTTTTCTTTCCCCAAATTACAGTCAGAAGCTGTTTTTTTAAAAAAAGGGAAAAAAAAAACTTTAATAACCTGTAACCTGCTTCTGTCTGAGCTTTGAGATCGAACTTGATAATGTGCATTGAAAACCTTTTCAGAGCATAAGTGCAGGGCTAGAAATTAGGAAGTTTCCTTGGGTTTCGTTGGATGATGGGACGGAATGATCCTAGAACTTTCTATCTGGAATGCCTGCGCTGCTCCTCTTCCCTTGTGCAATATGATTGGTGTAACTGAAAATAACTGTAATTCTCTGCTAAATCAAATGGCATTTATAGTAGAATTCAGTATTGACAAGCAGTAGCAAATGCAGAGGTGAAGAATATTTTGAGAAAAATCTTGTATTTAATTTTTCTCCCAGTGTACCGGGGAGACTGCCATGACTCACTTTTAGCAACAGGAGAATTTCCTCTTGTTTATGTGCTGTCAGTGCTTCATGTTAAAGACACTTGGGCATACACACTGTGTTTTTGGCCCAGTTTATCACTGTTCTGGTGACGTGCTGCGTTTGCAGCAAATCCCTATAGAGTAAAAAAGGATATCTGTTTTTTTGCTGTCCATGTTTTATCTCATTTCTGTACCACGATTTCCGCTGAGGCTATTTGGTGTTATATAATTGACTATGAACTGGAGATTTTCGTTGACATGTGTTAGAACTATTCCAGGACTAGTACAATGCGATAAGTAGCAATGAATGAACATGAAAATATCAACATGCTTCCCACCCTTTTACATTATAAAGCAGAAAGCAGTTTTCTTTCCCAGAAAAATAACCATTCTTATTTTCTTGACTCTTTACCCGTCATCTCTGTTAGGTTATACGTGAAAATAATTTGTTTGGGTGTCTTTGGCTAGCAGGCTGTGTTTGTAGGTTAAAATACAAACTAAGAATAAGCAAATAAACAAGAGCTGGCAGAGAAGTTAGGGATTTTTGCACAAATACAATACTTAAAACTTTGCTTCATAAAAGCCAATTTACAATGGCTACTCTTTTTTTTTAATTTTTTTTAATTTTATTGTACTTCAGGTGAAGGCTTACAGAACAAATAGTTTCTCATGAAACAGTAGTACACATGTTGTTTTATGACATTAGTTAACAACCCCACAACATATTAACCCTCTAAATTCTCAACCTTTTTTTTTTTTTTGATGAAAATACACATAGCCAAAGATACACCGTTTCAAAAATTTCTACACACACAGTTCAGTGACATTGACTACACTCTTCCAATTGTGCTGTTATTCTCACTTAAGATGAAGGCTTACAGAACAAAATAGTTTCTCATTTAACAGTTACTACAAATGTTGCTCTATGGCAATGGTTAACAATCTCACAACACATCAACAATATCCTTACTCAATCTTGTGTTCCCTATCACCAGCTTCCTTGTCCCCTTCTGCCTTCTGGCCCTTGTCACTGGACTCCTGTACCTCGTTAGTCTCATTTGGTTTTACGGGGCTGTCCACTCCCAGGCTGAACAGTGAACCTCGGAGGTAACTTCACCACTGATCTAAAAGGGTGTCTTGGGGCCGTACTCTCGAGGTTTCTCCAGTCTCCTTTAGGCCAGTAAATCTGGTCTTTTTTTTTTGTGAGTTAGAATTATGCTCTACATCCTTCTCCAGCTCTGTCCAGAACCCTCTGTTGTGATCCTGGTCAGAGCAGTCAGTGGTGGTAGCCGGGCACCATCTAGCTGTACTGGACTCAGTCCGGTGGAGGCCTTGGTAGCTGGGACAATTAGTCCTTTGGACTAATCTTTTCCTTGTATCCTGTTCTCTTCATTCTCCCTTGCTCCCGAAGGGATGAGACCAGTGGAGTATCTTAGATGGCCGCTCACAGGCTTTTAAGACCCCAGACGCTACTCACCAAGGTAGAATGTAGAGCATTGTCTTTATAAGCTGTGTCATGCCAATTGAGCTGGATGTTCCCCGAGACCATGGTCCCCACAGCCCTCCGCCCAGCAATTCAGTCCCTCAGGGAGTTTGAATGTGTCTGTGGGGCTTCCATGACCTTTCCTTGTACAGGTTGTGCTAGTTTCCCCTGTATACAATGGCTACTCTTAACAATTCTTTTGAAGTTAAACATCTGTAAAGCGAATCACGATTTCAAGTCTTAGTTATTTTCATTAGAATCCCTTTATTCAAGTTACTTTATGTAAATTACTTGTGTTTTTATGTATCGAGAATCAGATTTTATGTTTCTCACCCCAGTTGTCTTTACTGGCTTAGATTTTGTTCGTTTTCTTTGCTTGCTTGTTTATTTTAAATTGAGGTAAAATTTGCACACTGTGAAGTGCACAGATCCTGAGTGTACGATTCAGTGACTTGTGATAAATGTATGCACCATGTAACCATCAGCCCCATCAAGGTAGCGAGCATTTCGGCACCCTAGACAGCTCCCCGTTGCAGTAAAAGCTTTGGTTTTGAGTGTAGCTTGTGAGGTGAAGTTAGCTGAGCCGTCGGTAGATTTCTGTGATCATGGTGATACTCTTCCTTTTATCAGAAGGTTCAGAGTAATGGACCTGAAAAGCAGGAAAAAGAAGGTGTTATCCAGAACTTCAAGAGAACTCTCTCAAAGAAAGAAAAGAAGGAAAAGAAGAAGAGAGAGAAAGAGGCATTGAGACAAGCATCTGATAAAGATGATAGAACTTTCCAGTCGGATGACATGTAAGTTAATTTTGGTAACACTCATCTTTCTTTGTGCTCTAAACCAAAAGTTTTTTAATGCTGCAGACCTTGTTAAATTAACAGGTAAAGAAATTGTGAAAAGTATAGTATCAGTTAAGAAACTGTGTCTATGTATCCGGGTTTTCTGTGTTGAGGGAGACAGGGTCTTAGCAAGATTCCTTGCTGAAAACACCTGTCTTCATGCCCTTGGAAAGAATGTTTGTACCCACAATTTTGCTAATCATAAAATAAGTAATTCCTTTGATTAAAATTACTGTTTTTTCTGAGTCGACTCTAAAGAGCCACAAGGACGGGCCGTTAACGACAGACGGCTCTTCATCTTCAGCTGGCCTTTTCCTCCCCTTCGGTGTTTTGGCCTCTAGGGCAGCAGCGGTGTCTTATATGCCTGAAGTACACACAGTACCTGATCAGAGGTTGGCAAGGCTAGGCAGAAAGGCATCTTTATGTTGTTGTTTAAGGTTTAAAGGCACTGTTCCGTCCAGTCCCACCACTACCATTCCCTGTTCTTTCACACCAGCCTCACTGTGGGTTCCTTCACCTGCCTAACTGTCTGTGTGCGTGTGACCTCAGAGCTGAGGGAGAAGCAGAACCGTCATTCCTGCCTTAGCTCGTCGATTTCCAGTTGTTCTTTCATTCAGTCCGTTGTCGTATGCTTACTCTTTCAGGCAGCCTGCTGTTGCCTTCGTACGGACTAGATAGTAAGTAAAGTAATATGCATTCATTTAGAAAACCAGAATATACAGATTTACCAAAAAAGGCGAAGAAGTCACTGGTGATCATGTTACCAAAAAGAAGACGATATTCTAGTTTGTTTTTCCTACACAAACATATACTCTTCATATGTTTATATACAGGGTTTTTACACAGAAATATTCTTTTGAAACCAGAACTTGTCAGTTGACATTTTTCCACTAAACTATAGATTTCACAAAAGCATTTTAACTGACGGTACAGTATTCTGCCCTCCAGTGTGTCCATGATTTATGTAAGCTGTTCTTTTCTGTTGTACTTGTTGGTTGTTCACAGTGTTCTGGTGTTACAGATAATGCTGCAGCGTTGACCACTCACCTCACTGTTTCCTTAGGATGCATTTCTAGGAGACTGGCAAGGCTACAGGGTTTGGTTGCTTTTACGTCTTCGGGACCATGGCCAGATTGCTTTCTATAAAAGTCTTCCTAATGTACTCCTCGGCAGTCCATGAAGGCTCACTTCCTTTTACCCCTAGAAATGTTGGATGTTACAGAAGTTTAATGTCTCCAATTTAATTGGAGTCTGTTTTGTCATTAATAAAGCTGCGTGTCTTTCCACACATTTGTTAACCATCTATATTCTTTTATTGGAACAATCTCTTCAAAACTTTTGTCCATTTTTTAATTGATTCTGAGTGTTCTGTATGTCTTAAGATATTAACTGTTCGTCAGTGAAAAACGTTTAGAGTGCCCAAGAGTGGGCTTAGATACTGATCTGTTAGGCAGTGATGCTGCGTAAAGAACAGGAATTCTTGAGTGTAGTATTACATAGTGTGACCCTATTTAGTGTAGTCATACAAGAGAAGAAACTTGTATACATATGATGCTCATATATGAAAAATGTCAAAAGGGGAATGTAAAAATTTTATTTACCAATTTAGTTTATGGAGTGATTGATAACATGTGTTAAGAAAATGAGCTACTTAGGATGAGTTAAGTTGTTCAACTTGGAAGATTTAAAGCTCGACTGATTTTTTTAAATTAAATTATTTTCCTTATTAAAAACTGTATCTTTAAAGCATATTTATCAAAGTTTAGTTAAGTCGGTCAATTTTTCCATCTCACCTTAATATTCAGTTTTCAGATCATCATTCTGTACAGTTTATTTCTCTTAATAGAAACTATTGGGGCGCTTTTACTTTTGAAAATTTAACTTCCGGAAAGTGAATGATGGAAAAAGTTTTAGGTGTTAAAAAATCATGTTATTTAATCAATTTGGGTTTCTCGGGGTTTACTATAATCTTAAAATAAGTATTTATTAAAGTATATTCAATCCTTATTTTTTTTGTGGTTGAGATGTTGTGGAATAATATCATTCATTTGCTCTGTTTTAGGATAACACTGGTTGAAATTACTGAAATGTGTAATTTATACACGTTTAATGTTTATTAGGGAATACTCAATAATTATTAAGTTACACAAACTCACTATAAAATTTAAATTATAACTTTCTGCTTAGTTCAGTATATCAGTTTGTGTTGAGAAAAACTTTACTATTTGTCACACAGCAATTAGAACATGGTAAATGGTACACAACAGACCTATGTAGGATACCCAGAAAGCAAACAAACAAACAAAATGGTTGCCATCAAGTCGATTCCAACTCATGATGACCCTGTGTATGCAGAGTAGAACTGCTCCATAGGGTTTGTAAGGCCGTGGTCCGTCAAGTTGATTCCAACTCATGGTGATCTGGTAGCAGATGGCCGGGCCTTTCTTCCGAGGCACCTGTAGGTGGGTTTGAACCGCCAGCCTTTCAGTTGGTGGTCGAGGGCTTAACTGTTTTCACCACCCAGGGACTCCTACGTGGGGTACAGATGTAGGCAGATCACATGCCATTTTGAAAAGTATTTTTGTATGATAATAATGAATATGGTGTAGCAGTGTATCTGTTTCTGATATGAAAAAATTTTTAAATGTTGGTGGTTTTTTTGCTTGCAGTGAGAATTCTCGACTGGCTGCTGAGGTTTACAAAGACATGCCTGAAACTAGCTTTACCCGAACAATCTCTAATCCTGAGGTGGTTATGAAACGGCGGAGGCAGCAAAAGCTGGAAAAGAGAATGCAGGAATTTCGGAGCTCCGATGGGCGGCCTGATTCAGGTACAAGTTTGGATTGTTTTTCTGTTCTATCTGTTGTAAAGGTTATTACTTCATTGTACTTTGTATATATGAGTGAGGCCGTACCTCACTGAAATTTATGGGTGATGTTGTTTTTGTGTGCCGTCAAGTCAATTCTGACTCACAGAGATCCTGTAGGACAGAGTAGAACTGCCCTGTAGGATTTCTTAGACTATAATCTTTATGGAAGCAGATCACCTGGTCTTTTCTCCTGCGGAGCCACTGGGTGAGTTCAAACCACCAACCTTTAGGTTAGCAGATGAGCGCTTAACCATTGCACCACCAGGTCTCCTGAAGTGGGTGAGGTAGCCTGTTCCTAACAGATTTGTACCCTGCAGGGATGGTACAGAGTCAGTTTGCCATAAGTGCAAGAGTTCTGTTCATGTAGAGGTATATTTAGTTACATACTTTTCCCCAGTATGGCTTGTTTTTTTTTTTTTTTTTAATTCTAGAAAATTTCAAATATACAAAAGAAGAGAGACAGATATAATGAACCCCTGTGTACCTGTCACTGACCTTCCATCATTAACAAGTCACGCTTCGTCCCTACTCCCGCACTTTTGCCTCATCCCCAGACTCTAGTATCTTGAAGTAAATCCCAAACTTACTGTTTTAAAAATTTCAGTCTTTTTTTCCCCTGAAGGATAAGAATTCTTAAAAAAAATCGAGAAAACACCCATAGTACCATTATCACATACAAAAGAATTGGCAATAATTCCTTAATATTATCAGATATATAGTCATTGTTCAGATTTTCCTGATTGCCTCAGATAATTCTTTTATTTGAGGCAGGATCCAGAGAGATCCAGACAGTGCCCTTGGTTCACGTGTCTTTTAAGTCACTTTCTGAAATTCCCTGTCCTCGCTTTCCTTTTACTTCCTAGGTTATTCGTTGGCTGGTTGGTTTTAAAACCTACGTGATTGGCCTTGTACGTTTGGAGACTACATCCTGTGGTGCATTTTACCATTTTCTCCTTATTTTCTCTGTTCCCTAGATTAGATATAAACAAAGGTGTAGTGGGTTTTGTGGGGTATATGGGGCAAGAATACTTACCATAGTATCCTCCAAAGGAGATCAGTGTTTTTTCGTTGTTGTTTTAATGACTAATGGATTCAAAACTTTTCACTGCTTTTAGTCCATTGCAGTTACTTTCCTTATTGATTCTCGAGTTGTTACTTTGAGCCGGTGGGAATCTTCACGTTGGCTCCAGAGTCTTTTCGACATAACCCTAGCCATCTGGGAAAGCTTGCTTTCTTGTATGACTACATGTTGTAGGTTCATCTTGTATTATTTTCTACCCCAGAGTCTGAATCAGCTCTTTCTTTCAGGAGTCTCGTTCCTTTTAGAGAGAACTGATATCTGGTTGCTAGGCGTGCTCGTTGTTACTGGGCTGGTCGGCGCTTCTAAGCCTGTTGAGTGGACAGAGCTAGGAAATACGTTTTTAAAAACTACGTTGCTTTTAGAAAATCCTGGTGTCTTTTCTCTCATGATAAAATTCTTGGTTCCTAACAACAATAGCATAATTATTTGCTTTTTCCTATAGTGTGTACTGTTGTGTTTGGGTGCTGGCGAGTCCGCTCTGACTCATAGCGACCCCACGTGTGACACAGTAGAACTGCCCCATAGGATGTTCTAGGCTGTAATCATTACAGAAGCAGATTGCTGGCTCTTCTCTCGTGGAGCCTCTGGGTGGTTCGAACCATCAACTTTTCAGTTAGCAGCTGAGTGCTTAATCATTGTGCCACCAGGGTTCCTTATAATATATACTAATAGTGTCAAATTTAAAATAACATTGTTATTAATAACAGTATGATACCCAAAACATTGTAAGCTTTTTTGACAGTATATCCTAAGGGATATACTGTCAAATTACTGTTTTAAATTCACATAACTCATTCCTATCCGTATGACTGTGTTTCTACAGTAATTCACAATTAAGCTTACTTCTTTTATTTTGCTTTTGATATTGGGAGTTTGCTTCTTTAAAATTTAATTTTGTTTAATGATACCAAAGTCAGATTTACAAAACAAGGCATATTTGGAGAAGTCTGGCTTTTGTCCCTGACTGCCTCCTTAGATGAACAGCCGCACACACCATATGCTTTCTTCCCGCCTTGCTTTTCCCGCTCAACAGTGTATCCTGGATATTAGTCCATGGCAGTAAATAGAAGTAGTCCAGTTATTATTATTTTTATCTGTGTCATGAATAAACAGAAAGCATGTAAATAGCTGCATTTCTATGGATTACCGACCATTCGTTGGACATATTATCAGGAGGAGGGACCAGTCCCTGGGGAAGGGTACCATGCTAGGTAAAGTAGAGGGTCAGAGAAAAAGAGGAAGACCCTCAAGGAGATGGATTGACCCAGTGGCTGCAACAATGAGCGTAAGCATAACAATGATTGTGAGGATGGCACAGGACTGGGTTGTGTTTCATTCAGTTGTACGTAGGGTCGCTATGAGTCGAAACCGACTCGACGGCACCTAACAACAATAACAGCTCATTCTGAACTACGTAAGACAGGAGAAGTGACATACCTCTTTGACGCCCTGCCATAGGGAAGCCAGAACCCCAACATGAAGTTACTCATTTGGAGCATATCTGCATATGGGGTGTTCCCACAGTATCTAGTATTGTGTGTGTGATGACGTGCTAGGACAGTAGAAAGTTCTGAGGCATTGAAAGAGCCAGCTTGTGGAAGAACTTACTGCTGTTATTCTGCTGTACTTTCTGAGGGAAATAGAGACGTAAAGAGATTTGAAACAGATGATTCTGTTATTTGAGCTATAAATTGATTTCGTATGTTTTTTAGCTATTTGACACAACACTTCTATTTGTAATATAGCACAGTTGTACTCAGCAAAGAAAATACTTATTATACAGTTAACAGCTAGTTAGAAAGTACTTTTATTTATTAAAAACAGTACATAATTGGCTGAGTTTCAAAAAAACGTCAGTACATTAGACAGCTGTATTATTGATCTGGCCTTTCCTAGAAAAAGTGTGATCTGGAATGCCATCACCTCTGTATTTCTGTTACAGTGTTACATTTAGATACTTCAGAATAGGATGTTCTGACATTGTGTTCTGTACATCTGTTAGCTTACTTATTAGTTTTAGGATTTTGGAATGTTAGGATTGGCAGCGTTTCTCTAAAGCCTCGTTTGTTGTAATAGTCTTAGTTGGGAAGAGTTGTTTAACTGTTGACCATTTCTCTTCAGTCAAAGCCTGAGTCAAAGGATTTTAATATTACCCAGATTATTTTTATAGCCATAATTGAATATACTTACCTGGTGCAAATTAGAAATTTTGGGGGAGGCCGTATTTACACTTAGATGTTATATTCACAGGAGCAGCATTACTGTGTATCTTACTAGCCTTGTCTTAATTGGAGTTGAAGTCTGTAGACCACATGGTTCTAAAGTGATTTTGTCCCCACGATAAATTTGCTGATGATTCCATTTCTTCTGAGCTTACACATGATTTTACAGTGTTTTTCAGTGTGTGCTCCATGTAGCCTCTAGCAGTAATAGAAGTTGACCCTGAAGCTAATTTGCCACCACAACATCCCATGCTTATTTTGACCCTTAGCGTCCCTGTAATTGAGTCTTCATTATATATTTCACTGGAATTGTAGTGTCTGTGATTCAAGAAGACTAAGGGAGTGAGGTCTTGTTTCCAGAAATACTACAGATTGCTTTGAGACCCAGATTATTTATGTATATCTTCTTTTGTTCAATCAAGGATTTGAAATAACTTATAAATCTATGCACACCCCCCAAAAAAAAGATAAAAATAAGGAGGGGAGCAGAGAAAATAAAAAGTAGAAAAATAAGATAGTAAAAAATTGTCAAAGGACAACACGAGTGCTAAGAAATACCTACCATGTGCCAGACCTGAAGGGGCTTTGTGTGCCCTGGAAAGAGTTGGAAATGATCATTTAAGGGAATTTCTCAAGGTCATTATTTAAATGAACTTCCTTGAGGAATATTCTAGTATGGGCTCAGGGCTATTGGAGTCACAAGAAAGATGTATCAATTTTTCTAAGTATCTTAATAAAATATTGTTATAATGAAATATGTTTCTAATATGGATTAGAATGCAACATTTGTATGTATTTTTTAGGTAAAAGGGGAAAGTTTTTGCATGTCACCTCTGGCTGTGCCCCCAGACATGCATACTTATTTTTTCTGTCGTTATTAGTGATACTTTGATGGAAAAATTTGATATTCTTCGTTAATAGGTGTCTTGGTTATCTAGTGCTGCCATAACAGAAATACCACAAGTGGATGGTTTTAACGAAGAGAAGTTTATTTCCTCACAGTCAAAGTAAGCTAAAAGTCCAAATTCAGGGCGTCAGCTCCAGCGGAAGGCTTTTTCTCTCTGTTGGGCTTCTCATCAATGTTCCCCCGGACTAGGAGCTTCTCTGCGCAGGGACCCCGATCCAAAGGACGCGCTGTGCTCCCGGCACTGCTTTCTTGATGGTATGAGGTCCCCCTGTCTCTCTGCTCACTTCTCTCTTATATCTCAAGAGATTGCCTCAGAACACAATCCAGTCTTGTAGATCAGGTCCTGCCTTACTAACACAACTGCCACCCATCCTCCCTCATTGACATCACAGAGGCAGGTTTACAACATACAGGAAAATCACACAGTACCAGGAATCATGGCCTAGCCAAATTGATGCACACATTTTTGGGGGACATAATTCAAACCATGACAGTAGGCCACTGACGAGCTTTAATCTGAGGGTTAAGAAGGCTTTGAATTTAGCCTAAGGTTCACAGAGAGAGTCCTGTGGAAGCAGAGAAGAAGGGTTTGAGGGAACTGCGATCAGAAGCAGGTGTGCCGTCGGAAGTATTGCACTGCCCACGTAAGAACTAATGAGTCCTGGAACTAAGTCATTGATAATGGGCTGTATGGAGAGAGCAGGACCAAAGGAATATTCAAGAGGTAGGATTACCAGGAACTGTAACAGAT